TAGACTCGGACGGTTTGGACCTATATACATCAGAAAATAATTCAATCGGTATGCTAAAACCGATTCAATTACAACAGCAACGGGGTATTTCATTTTGTTGTTATTTTTGAATATGCGTACTAAACAAATGACATAGAGCAGAAAATAGGAGATACTTACTCAATCTCAATGCCTTCCTCTGATGAATTGTTCGTGATAAAAATATGAAAAAATTAAGATTGCTAAATGACAAAAAATCTACGTGATAAGTAGAGAAGCAGAAAATGAAGGGTTCATACCTCAGTATACTAATTGCATCATGTTGATCCCATCTGCCACTGTCACACTTGAAGACACCGAAGGTTAACTGCTCTCATATTTGGTTGACTCCAAATGACTCTCCTCAGAAAGAATATAAATCATTCATTTACTGCTTACTCTCAGTCTCAACATCACAACCGTCTCATCTCTCAACTCCATTGAAAACAACCACACACTGTCAAGACCATTCAAACATATTTAAGTTTGATATATGATGAACCAAAAAAATAATTCAATCAAACAAAGATGTAATTACAACAGAACCAGTTATCTTAATCAATAAATGGGATCTCAACAGATTCAGGTTTGATATATGATCAAGAATCATCGATACTTCGGTTATAACGGATCAGATCTAACAGTCAAAATAGAGAGAGAGAGAGAGAGAGCGTACCCGTAACCATGAGCCAGTAGTCTAAATTCATGAGGAGCTTCTAATCGATGTCGAAGATCAACATGTTCTTACTGTCGCTGGAAATTTGAACCGTTTTAGTGAATGTGGATGCCTAATCGGCGATGCCACTGTAATGGTCTCCGTTGAGATAACTGGCTATGAAATCCATGCGGAAGACCCGTTGAAGTCCCCGAATAAAGGGGAAAAGGCCATGGAGGGAACCACATCTCAGCTTCTGGAGTTGTTGGTCTCTGCGGCCAGTCTCAGCTTTCGCAGTAGGTATCTGCGGCCAGTCTCAGCTTTCGCAGTAGGTATCTGCGGCGGAGGAGCAAAATCCGTTGCTTTCGGGAGCTGAAGAAGGTCGAGAGGCGAAGATGTAATTTTTAGAGGTAAAAGTCATTCTTCTTTTTTTTGATCAAAGATAAAAGTCATTCTATCAATAAATTTTGAAGCCCAACGCGAACACAAACCAACATAAGAGAAAGGGAATAATTGATCGCCACATGTCCAAAAATGCCCCATACTCTATAGATGATTTGTCCTTATATGACACCCCAAAACCAAGCCCATCACCAAACATCAAACCGAGAAACATATACCAAATGAAACCGAAACAAGATTGAACGAATTTGGTCGGTACAATTTAAGTATATGACTGCTGACGTGTCTTTTTTTGCCTCTCTCACAAATGTTGATGTGGCTCTCTAAGAAGGGAGAGAAGTCTACTTTATTGTATAAGATATGAATCATGTGATGATGCTATGACAAAAGTGATGTTGAAAACTTAATCATGTCATTTGATAATTTTGAGTTCATATTTGGCATGGTCATTTGCTATAAAATTTTATTTGCTATAATTGGGTAAGTAAAAATTAAATTTGTGTACAACGTTAATGCTTTGATGCAATTAGAAGATAAAGTTCTGTTTTTGGAGAAGTATAACATGAAGGATTTGCCACTAATTTTAGTATAGCTCAAAATATTACTCATGATATGGATGATGATCATGTTTTTCCAAATAAACGTTGTATCTTTAAGAGAAAAACAATTTTATGAAACTCAGTTAAGTGAAGAAATACTAACTGGTAAAGATGATTTCAGACTTAATTACTTTCTAGTCAATTTAAATGATTTTTTCTGAATTGAGAATCTTTCAAATTATTTTACCGGCTATGTTCTATGGAACCTAGTGAATTTATTGAAAGTATGGATTGCTATCAAGATGTTTCAATGTCTTATGGCATTCTTTTGAATATACATATGACTATAGCCTCACCGTAAAGAATTTTTTTCAAAATTAAAATTATTAAAAAAATATTTGAGATCTTGATTGCCTCAAAAAAGATTAAATGATTTAGCTATTTTATATATTGAAAAAGAAATAATAGAAGACATTGATTCTGGAACTACTATTCATGATTTTGCATTGAGTAAAGCTCGAAAAACCATTTCTTATGATTTTCTATTTGTTGTAGATGACTATTGTTTTTCTTTGCTTTTCATATTACAGAAACAGCTCCAAGTCTTTTGTTCAAAAAAAGAAAAAAAAAACAGTTCCAAGTCTGAAATCATTGGTATTTTGAGAAAGCTAGGAAGAAAAGGAGAAAGATAACCAAAAAATCTGATTTTTATTGCTGATTATATTTATTATATAGAAGATGCAAATTTTTTATGTTATTTACGTGATGATTTCCTAAATATTGTTATTTAGTATTTTAGTTGTAACAGTTCTATAAATAGCATGTTTTATATATTAAAGGAACTGGTACTTTAACTTTGGTGGTAAAAAGTTTACAGTTGCTTTGGTTCGAGCATGGCCATTTACAGATGTTTAGAGTGGCAAGAAAATCTAGATTTTTTTACATCATGATTATCAAAAAAAAAAATTTGTTGGATGGCCCTATATTTACGCATCAACAACCGAGTTGTTCTTAGAGAACAGGAGAGAATAACTCTCAAAGAAAAGAAGTTCAATAAAAATTGGTTAATTAACATTTGGAAATAAACCGTCTAAAACCTTTTATCTTACACTGAAAATCTCCTATATATTATTTGAGAATCATTTAAAAAGTTATAACCTTAAGTTTGTAAGAATTAAAAATAACTTCAATTATATGTGGCATAGCTCTTTGGCTTCTATTTCAAATCCTAAGGATTCTAGAGCATGTGATATAATGTATAGTCTGAAAATTATATTCTCTAGCAATATAATATTTCGTAGATTATAGTTGGTCGCATATATCAAATATTTATTGTTTCGCATGCTTTCCTTAAATAAAACCTACGGAATTACCTAATATGATTAAAATATATATATGACAATTAATGATTTTAAACAATAAAAATTTGATAACAATTTGTATACTTTTTCTCATTTTGTTTATTTATTTATTATTAAAATAAATTACACAATTACATTAATCATATAATAAAAATCTACATTTTTGGTGTGTATATTGTATTTCGAATTTTTCAAAATGAGTATAAATTACTAAAACTGTTAAAAGTCTCACATAAACTTTTATGATCAAGGTTTTAATTTTTTTTCTATATTAAAATATAATGATTATAAAACCATATGAAGAAATAATTTTAGTTTATATATATATATTTCACATCGTTTTAATTAAACTATACATCGTATGAAAATACATACTTATATTTTAATATTTGTCTTGAACATATATTGAAAAGTTAATATTTTAATATTGCAATATGTCATTGTTTTACAATGATTATAAATTATTAAAACTACTAAACATCTCACATTAAAAAAAAATCGTTGGTGTAAAATTTTGTTACATAAATATGCAAATAATCATAAAATCTTATGAGTAAAAACCTCATTTAATAAATATCTATATTAAAAGTGTGCTATATTGCTATGTTTATATCATTTAAATTTAATTATATATCATATACAATATATAAGATTGATTATTTTGATTTATTTACCCTTTTTGTCACTGATTATTTTGATTTATTTACCCTAATTGTGAATAAAAAAGTGATAGTTAAATTTATATGCATACATCAATTTATTATATAATAGTAACTGATTTATTAGTTATTTAATATATTTATTTATTATTTTCTTATTTTATAATATGCAGAAAAATATAAAATAAAGAATAAATATAAAATACTTATTGTGTATAAAGTGCAGATCTTAACCTAAGTATGTATCTCTTTAATTATTTTAGATCTTAAGTATTTTCTAAATCCCAGGTCAAAACAAATAAACAAAATGAGAATAAACTTCAAAATAAATATTTATATCGAGTAATAACCAAAATATAAAAAAACACAACAAGAGAAAAAAATTGAAGATAAATAGGATTCACATGTGAACGTAAACTTCTCATAACCATAATTAACTTTAACTTGTTAAATCATGATATAAAACTGAGTTAATTTTTAATTTGTTAATTTTTAATTTCTTAAATCATTATGGTTATGTTAAATCATGACCATAATTAATTTTAAATTGTTAAATCATGATATAAAACTGAGTTAATTTTTAATTTGTTAATTTTTTAATTTCTTAAATCATTATGGTTATGTTAAATCATGACCATAATTAATTTTAAATTGTTTATTTGTATTTGAATACCTTAAAATATTGTTTTTAAAATAATTTAAAATTTTACTTAATTTTTTATAAAATTATTTTTTAAAAATATATTTTTTAAATATAGTTTTCTAATATTATTAGACAAATAAATAAATTGTATTAAATTAGTTTTGAAACTTTATATATTTTAAATGCAAGTATTTTACCAACTGCTTCTTACAAAAACATTAGGTTACTGGCTAATACTCTACCAATCGAGCCCAATGACACATTATTTATTTTTCGTCACTCGAACACTGAAAAGTGAAAAGATATATGAAATCGAGTCCATTAAATTCTAAATTCTGATCTACAGTTCCGATTACAATTGTTTCTGATCCCACGTATAGATAATTATATAAAAATTCTAAAATTTTAAAATTTCAAATACATATAAAACAATCATATGTAAATTTTAAATTTGTCAATACTAAAATTTTATATTTTAATTAAATATATCCTAGTCTAAAGTTAAATAGACAATCCCTAGAAACTAAGGCTCTAACTGGTGACCATTAAAATAGGAATATGAATGAATAGGAAAATAATAAGTAGGAATAAAATAAAAGGAATGAAAAGGAATATTTATTACTTTGGTTCCATATCAATTTTGATAAGGAATGTTTTTGTTCTATAATTCCTTAGAATTCTATGAATGATTAGGAATCATAAGCATGAAATATTTTTTATGAATGGTGTATTTTTTAAGGAATAAGTAGGAATTGATTATTCCCCTTCGTTCTCTATGTTAACATTTAGACCCTAAGGAAATACAAAGACTTAAAGAGTTTGTCTGACTAAACTAAAAGACAAGTTTTTGACAGTTGAAGAAGTGGTCAATCCTTGATCTTCACGGTTGACCTAGTCAGTTAACCATAAACTTTTTCGCCCAAGGCCACGGTCAACCAAAGTTTCATCTTCGTTCTTGGCCGTTGATAATTCTACTTGAGTAAAGTTGAGAGCCCAATCTCCAGAAGTTATTTCCTTGGCGGAAATACAAATCCAAATTTTGCTTGGATCTTCAAAAATGATCTTTCGGTTCATTTTTTTAATTATGCGTATGAATGTTTCCCTTAACCGTTTGGTCTTTGCCCTCGTGATTGCGCCAACTGGTACATTCAAAGCTTCCTGGAGATCAAGCTCTCCATCTGCCGTTACAAGCTCACCCTCCATCTCCATGGTGCCATCCATGATCGCATCATTACATCTTTCCTTGATGATGCTCAGCTCACACTTTAATTTCTCCTCCAGTGCAGCCGTTTCTTGGTCCTTAAAATCACATTCAAAAACGTGTCTGAGAAACAGTAGTCTGACCACAAGATCTAATCAACCAAACAAGAATCAGTTTCTGCTGGAAAGTATCCTAGCAAAACTATTAACAAAATAAGTACAACTGATGCGTATCTTGATGATTGTGACAAGGAAGCTACCTTGTTGTGGCAGTTAAGAATTTCATCTTTTCCTTGTGCGTCTGACAGTAGTGATGTTGTTGTCTTCTTCAGATTCACACGAAGTGTTTCCCACTGATCCGATAAACAATGCTCTCCGCTTCCAGTTTTCTGACCATCCATAATCATTGAGAATTGTGATTGTAGAGTTGAAAGAAGGCTCGTTGTGGTTTCAGTTGCATCAAAGAAAAGCTTTGCTCTTGGAGATTCCTTCTCAGACATTACGCTCTAACAAAATGCAATAAAAAAGTCTTTTTATTCATAATCTCAAAAAGTAAAAGTTAAACAATATAAAATAAGTTATTCACCTTCATTGCGACTATAACATCCTTGTAGACATCATTGCAATTAGCAACTGACTCGTATAACCGTTTCGGAATCTCTTGCATGTGAAGCATTTTTTGTTTGAGCTCAGAGAGCTTGTTATTCATAGCTACTTGCTCGTTGAATTTTACCTGAGAATATATAATAATTAATCATTGAAGATAGCAAATAAAAAGTTCACTTTGTGGTCAGATCTACCTGAGAGAATCTCTCTAACTAAAATCGAAAGAGCAGAGCATTTTCACTTGAACAACCGATAAAGACTAACCTGTAGGCTATCCTTCTCATTAGTCAGCAAGTCAATCTGACTTTTGAGTTTTTCAACCTCTTTGTGATCTTCATGCGAGCATTCCTAAAAGAAGAACCAAAAAATATTACGGCCAGCTTTCGCTGCTAGAATCCTCACCATAGTGTTCTTGAAAACCATACGAGCAGCATATAAATTTGGAAAATAGTAGGGTATTCATCTATATGAAGTTTGAGAATATGCAGTCTTTATTCAATCTGATTATGTTTCTATTGGAAGATAAAAGGAGTAAAGTAAATGTATATACTCACCATGGTTGCAGTAGCTAAAGGAATGGGTTGACTTCTAACTGTAGGTGTAAACTGAAATTTATCGCGGTGTTGAACAAAACCTTTGTTTAGTCTTGACCAAGTGTCTTCATCGGCCAAGTCATTAAAATCAGGTAATCCGGAATAATTTAACCGAGCAACCACAAAGGAACGTGTAGGGGATTTAAAGCAAGGAGTCCGTGGAACATTGATATTATTATTAACAATGCATGAGTCATCTTGTGTCTTCCTGAAATTGAGAAAGTCCTGCCAATAAATACGTTATTATTGTCAATAGTTTTTTTACACCAAGATCATGACTCCACCGCATTAGCTTAAAAGAAATAATTTCTTTAACAACATTGATGACATGTTAGAAGGACATCACGTAAGCCAATTAATGAATCCGTACCTCTGAATGGTTCTTCTTGAAGTCTAAATTAGTGACAAGACTGTTTAAGTTCTCAATTTTCAACTGTTGATCCTTAATGCACTGCTCCTGCTCCCTCTGTTTCCTTCTCTCTTCCTCAAGTTGTGTTTTTAGCCTTTCGCATTCTAGCTCATACTGAAATTTTTTTTAAAAAAAAGGATAGCTGTTTTGTATGATGTGTCTGCTCAATCTTCTATTCTTTTCACTAGAAAAGAGCACAAAAAACTACCTTGAGTCTCTCATTGCTTAACTTTAATATCTCTTGTTCTAACACTTCGGCATGGGATCCCTACGAAAATTACCAATTAGCATTCTCACCATTCCAAGATGTAATCAAAACTTGATTATACCTGAAGCTTCATACGTAACTCCTCTATCTCTAACTTTAAACGCTTCAATAAAGCAGCATCAGTCAAGATCTGGAGCATTCAAACAATGTCAGATTTTTGAAAGGAATAAAAAAAAAACACTGAGAATTAAGACTGAAATAGAGGGTTAATATATCTCTCCAAAGAACCAATAATAATTACAAATGCAGACCTCATTCACTTGAGCACAGTTGGTGATGCTCTTGGCTCTGCTTGCAAATTGGAGAGTCCCTTTTGATTCCTCAATATGATACTACACACATGATCATGCAACTTTGATAAGTCAGTTGACTAATCTTGCAAAACCTGGCAGGAAAAACAACATTACCTCTTCTGGTGCTATAGTGCATATAATGCAAGTCTTCGCATTACCACCAAGTGCAGGCTGAAGAATTCGAGTCAGCTTGCTGTCTCTGTACGGAATATGTCCCCTATAATCATCAAGGGATGTCAGAAGTGAGCTGAGCTGTATCGTTGTTACGGGTAGCCAAATAAAGAGTAAGAAAATACCTTATTTTTGTATTCTCACTTAGTTTATTAATGACATTACCAAGAGTCATTAAGCTCTTGTTAATGTACTTTCCTTCCGTCAAGCGTACTCCACCAGCACCAGTTTTTGCAATTCTTTCAGATCCAGCCAAGTCAACCAGATTCTAGAATCAATTAAAATGACGCCCGTAAGAGAATAAACAGCTTTCTACATACACTCGTAGTGGAAATGATCACTCACCAAGACTGAGACACGGATAGCATCCGTAGAACTGTTTCCTTTCCCTCTGCTCTCAATCACCTTATCCCACCAGAGAGATTGTATCAGAACAAATACTTCAAAAAAAAAAACAGTTGAGAGTTTCATTCATAGCTTTCGAAAATCCTACCATTCTGAAGATGGTGTGGGACCTGCTACTATGAACGTTCATGTTTGTCTCACCAAAGTGCCTATTCACTTTAAATTCAAAAAGATCATGTCAATACAAGTTATACATAAATCAAAAAGCTTCTTAATTTAGGGCTTTCAAAAACCTTCTCCAAAATCTAAAAGCTTTAGAATCTGTTCAGCGTCATGAACTATTTCTTCCCTAAGGCCATCAACAAACACTCCACACTACACACCAAAAGAGAAGCAAATGTGTATTATCATTCTAAACAAAACTAAGAGATGAAATACCACTTGTAAAGATTATAATCGATCCATCAAACCAACCTCCCAATGTTCATGAATTTGCAGTCTCTGATTCTCAACAGCTAAGAGATCATTGATCTCTTCGTTATAAATCTCCATGTAAGAAACCCGGATAAGAAACTCGCGATCCGATATCTAAAAAACAGAACATTTCTTTACATTTTTACCAAAAATAAAATTAAAAAACAGAACATTAAAAAGACACAAAGTAAAAGCTGTTGTCTTTTTGTAACTTCACGGGTGGTTTTAATGCTTACCATTCGTATTCTTTCGAATACATCTCTAACAGACCTCCGAATAATCCCTGGATCAGTCTCAGAACCCGTCATTGTAAACGTCTTTCCACTACTAGTTTGCCCATAAGCAAACACAGTACCTAAACAAAATAAAAAATCAGAGAAACCAAACTCAACAACTGTTCAGGTTCGGACCAGATTAGGTTACTTACCATTGAAACCCTCGACTGCGGCATGAATAATATCCTTGGTAAGAAGCTCGTAGACGCAGGCATTCCTAGACATTTCGTCGAACACATGGTCTACAAAAAAAAATACAAACACCATCAAGATTACGAGATTCTGAAGCAAAGAAATCGAAACCCATAATCACTGACAAAGGTTTTGTACCGAAAGAGTAAGAAGCGCCTAAAAGTGGGGTGTCGAGTGAAATACGATTGTCTTCCACTTTCCACAGAGAAGATGCGTTTTTCGATGAGGAATCCGGCGTCGGCGGCCTCACTCTCACTGCAACACATATTTTCTCCATCTTCGTCCCCCGATATGAAATTGAATTTCAGTAAAATTGGAATCTTTATCCTCCAAAACCAACAGTATTTAAGAATTTGAATTTCGTCAAATTACAATAATATCCTTCCGTTTCTGTTACATCTATTAAAAAAAAAGAAAACCGGTTTTCGAGGTCTCTTTAAATTTTGTGACTATGTACAGATTCGGTCAATATATTTATTTTTATTGATGTTTTGATTTCTGAGTTACCATATTTTTTTAAAAAAACTTAAAAATATAAATCAACAATAAATGTAATGTATCAATTATTGTTATACTACTTCGTAAAATTTACCAAAAATATATATCAGCAATAAATGTATTTGTTAATGTCATCAATATCATTAAAACAATAATATTCTGTTTAATAAATTTTTTATGTTTTCCAATTATACTCTTATTTTTATGAACAAAATTAATTTTTCATTAATGGTAATTTGATCTTTTTCTGGGACTAAAAAATATATACTAATATATTTTTTTAATGGATCAATTCAATTTCTAATTATTTCTCAAGTTTCTTTCAAAAATAAAGTCATTAGCCTTAATTGGTGTAGTTAAATCTCGGAATTTTGATATTAGCTGTGAGTTCCACCCCATTTGATCCGCCACGGAACGGATCAATCAATTTGAAAAATTAAGTTGCGGGTGCAGGTGCGGGTCAATTGTATTTTATGCGGGACGAGTGTGGATTGTTCTAATTTCAATCGCGAATACCCACTAATCCGCAAAAATAAAATTTTCTTTTTAAATTTATTTTTCAAAAATATACTAAATTTCTTTTAAAATAATTATTTTTTAAAAATAGGTATTAACAATTTAATTAAAAAAATATACTATTTAATATTATCTTTTAGAAAAAAATTAAAAATAATTATTTTAATTATTTAATATTTAGCTGCGAGTCTCGTGGATTATCCGCAAAATTAGGTGGCATGGATGCGGATAAAATATATTTTCTTTGCGGGTTCGACGGGTTGAGCGGGACATGTTTGACCCGCTTCCCAGCACCAGGCGTAGTTAGTTGATATTATTTTCCCAAAATAAAACTACATAATTACATACAATACATATGTTTAGATATTGATGATAACAATAAATTAAAATCTGCATTAGTTTTAAAAAGTTATATTAGATAGTGACATTTTATATCATCAAAGAAAAAGACTTATCAATCCATCTTTATATAAAACAATAAAATGGTATCCGCGCTTTTTAATCGCCGGTCAAAAATCTAGTATTTAATTATAAATCATGTCAACAATCTTATTAGTCACATCATCATTTTTGTAAAAATGATTATAGAAAAAATATGTAGCAAATCATTTCACAAATAATATATAGAGGATATTTCACTTTTAATATTTTCAGATATTAATATTAATATTTCCCTATACTTTAGAAAACTATATATTTACCTAAGCAATTAGGAAAGTACTTATATTAATCATTTTTCATTAGTAGCCCGAATAAATCTCCATTTAGCCTTCGATTATGTTTAAGTAATGTCTTTTTCATACATTAAAATGTCAAATAGAAAATAACATCTTAAAAGATTTTTAATTATAAATTCTTGTAAAAGTTATATAAATCTGAGGCAAAATAAGTAGTTCATTACTAATTAGAATTTTATTATGTCAGCACCCACTTCTAACTCATAACATAGCTCCTTTTGAAATCAAATTTTTGTAGATTGTATATGAAAAAAATAAGATAAATTTTTTAATTATAAATTCTTGTAAAAGTTATATAAATCTGAGGCAAAATAAGTAGTTCATTACTAATTAGAATTTTATTATGTCAGCACCCACTTCTAACTCATAACATAGCTCCTTTTGAAATCAAATTTTTGTAGATTGTATATGAAAAAAATAAGATAAAACTACAAGAGATATAAAATTATGTGAAAGCTTGTGTTTATTGATATCATACGAAGAGTATATATACAACGTGAGAAGTTCCTATTCTACCTAGATAAAGGTTACATATATCTAATCTCATTATAATAGGGAATTCATATTAACATGTTTAACCCTTTACTCCCCCTCAAATTGGCAATGAGATATGTTGAATGCCTAACTTGAACAGCAAGTATTGAAATGTTGGTGTAGGAAGAGCTTTAGTTAGAAGATCCGCCGGTTGTTCCTTGGTAGAAATATGCCGTAATGTAAGCAACTTAGCCTTCACTACATCACGCGTAGTATGACAGTCATTTTCAACATGTTTAGTATGCTCATGGAAGACTGGATTAGTAACAATATGAATGGCGGATTTTCTGTCACAATGAAGTGAAATAGGTTGAGGATGCCTGAAACCGAGCATGACAATCAGACGTTTAAGCCATTTTAGTTCACATGTTGTGTCTGCCATGGCCATGTACTCTGATTCAGCTGAAGAACGCGAGACCGTACGTTGCTTGATCGTTCGCTAAGAAATCAGTGAGTCGCCGAGGAAGATAACATAGGCGCTGAGAGAGCGTCTGGTGGTAGGACATGCCGACCAATCAACATCACAGTAAGCAGAAATCTGCATATTACACACAGCCTTTAACATGATTCCAAAGCATACTTTCGTTGAGACACAAATATACCTTCAGGACCACGAGCAATTTCCAAGCCAAGAAAGTATTTGAGTTTGCCTAGATCCTTCATCTTGAAGCATATATGTAGATAATTCTTAAATTGTTGAATGATAGAGATGTCGTGTCCAGCAATGATAAAATCATCAACGTAAACAAAAATGTGAAGACAAATATTCTTGACATGATTTACGTAAGAGAAGAGAGAATAATCTTCATGGCTCTGCTCAAAGCCGAATGCTAGAAGAGCTTTGCTAAGCTTTAAAAACCAACATCTTGGAGCCTGTTTAAGTCCATATAATGATTTGCGTAGACGACATACCTGATTTGGTTGGTCAGTTTTGAGTCCTGGAGGCAACGGCATATATATTTCTTCTTCTAAATATCCATGAATAAAAGCATTATGATCATCCATTTGATGAACCTCCCATCTTTGAGCTGCTGAGACAGCAAGAAGAAATCGAACTGTATTCATTTTAGTCACTGGTGCGAACGTGTCTTTATAATCACGTACTTCTTTCTGTCTATTGCCACGAGCTACAAGACGGGCTTTCGAACGTTCAATAGTCCCATATGCTTTGTACTTATTCGAGTAAATCCATTGGCAACCGATGGTTATCTTTCCTGGTGGTAATGTGGTCACATCCCACATATGTTGTTCCTCCAAAGCCATAACCTCTGTTTTCATTGCTTTATTGAATCACTCATCTCAAACTGCTTCTTTGTAGTTTTTAGGAACAACATCCGTTGTGATTGTGGCGAGAAAAACCTGATGTTTCTGAGTAAACACAGAGGTTGATAAGTAATTAGCAATAGGATACGGCGTTTTATCTGAGACCGTTGTCGAAGGAGCCTGATCAGAGAGTGTATGAGTATGAGGGGGGGGGGTTGTAGTCGTAGCTGTATGAGTAAAAAAGTTCTTGAGTAGAATAGATGGTGTCTTTGTTCTGTGTCCACGTCCAAGAACCTCAAGTAATCCAGGAGAAGCAGGCTCAATACGTGATGCAGTAGGGTCCATAGAAGTTGTAGGAGGAGACTTATTTGATAGTGAGATGATGGTGTTTCAGTCAATGTAGTAGGCGATGTCGATGGATCAGAAGAATCAATAGGTGAGGTGATAGCAGATGGTGTATCTTCCCGTGGGGAAGGAAGAATGGGTAATGTAGTTGTTGGAGTTGCAGAAGTATCAGTAGGAGGTAATGTAGTCGTCACAGTTGCAGAAGGATTAGTAGAAAGTGAAATGTCATCAGAGGGGACATCTTCACGTGTAGGGGGAAGAATTGGTGATGTTGATGATGTCGATGTCGTGGCTTCAGGAGCATCGGTGCTCCCCCTGGAACACTACAAGAAAAATCGTCCTTTACTAGGACCACATTTCCTCACAATTTCCTAGTAAATGACCATTTACTAAGAACTTACGAGGAAACGCGTTTCCTCGAAACATGTTCATCGTAAAGCCTTTTTCCTCGTAAAGTCCTAGCTAATTTACGAGGAAAACTTTCCTCGTAAACGCGTGGATAAGATTTTCCTCGTAAAATCCTCGTACAACTTTCCTCGTAAAGTCATATTAACACATTTCCTCGTAAACTCGTAGTAATGCTATATAAGGACCTTATTAGTAAAATATATAAGGACTTTACTTCGAAAATATTACGAGGATTTTACTTCGAAATCTTTTTTTCCCTATTAAAAAAATATTAATTATAAATATAAATAATATATTTTTAAAAAATTAAAAAAACCAAATTATAAAAAAAAACAAAATATTTTATAAATAACTAAATAATATACAATTAAGTTTTAAAATTCATAATATACAATTAAAAAAAAACTACGGATGGTGGTCGTTAAATTGTCGAACGAAGTTGTCCCAGCTCGCCAACTCCTCCTCAGCAAGGTTGGTTGTCGGCTGTGACTGTGATGGTGGATGTTGTTGGGTTGGAAGCACTCCGCTTTCCCGTCTCACACGCAACATCTCCGCCAGTTACGGGTTTCCAACCGCCAAAATGTCCACGACATCGGTGAGAGAACTCACATGATCGGTGAGAGAACTCACATGATCGGTGAGAGAACTCACATGAGACTGCGTCACCTGCAACTCCGAGCGCAGCTGAGCATTGACATCGTGCTGTTCCTGAGCATAAGACGATGTTGGTGTGGGTACATTGTTAACGGAGTCAATCTCGACAATACATGCCTTTTTCCTAGGGGCGACCTGCAAATAAAAAGATTAATAACGTTAAAAAACAAATTAAATTAATAATAAAAATTAATAGAAAAACAAACTATTTACCTCCTCTTAAATCTTATCCACTTCAAGAGTGGATAATATGATTGGTGTCCCAGACTGCTGAGTCAGCTGGGTATGGCGTTCGTCAACACGAGCAACAACCTCGTTGTAG